AATGACAAAGGTATGACATAGGTATTACAAGGAGAAGGTGACTTTTCAGGACATTACCCCATGTCCCCACTTTTCAAAACGCTTATAAATCACACAGAATGGAGTGTATTGAACATCTGAAATAGCACAAAGTTTCCTGTAAGGGATAGGTTTAGGGGTAGGGTTGGTGTAGGGCAATAGAATATACGGTCTGTACAGTATAAAAACCATTAAGCCTATGGGATGTCCCCACTTTTCACAAAAACAAACCTGTGTGTGTGTGTGTGTGTACATGTTTGTCGTTTATCTGAGATCTCTGTCAACCCCACCACACAGCTCTTGTTCCACTCTCTTCCTGCAAAGAAGGAAATGGCATGAGTGCACAGCTACACGACCTCAAACCAAACACCTTCGTGGGCAACGCACCCTTACGTGTCAGCTGATTGATGATCTTTTTGAGGTGCAAAAGCTGAAGTTGAAACATAATTGTGACGTCAAAGGAAACTTTACATTCCAATTAATGAGTGGGCAGGAGTCTTGCGGGTGCAGTTCAGATTAGATACTCAGCTTTATAGCAATTTCACGCTGGCGGCCTTCTGATAGCTCTGAACTTGAGGGCCGACCACAGGTCTAAATCCCTTTTGTTGCTTGATTGACTGCGGCTCTCAGCTTCAGGTTATGCATGGAAGTGCTACGGTGTACTTTTCATGAACTTTTTGTGTTCAAAGTTTAATAGAAAATCAACTGAATAAAACGGTATTTATTTTTCTTTTGAGTAGCTAAGCTACTTGTATGAAATTCTGGAGGCTTACCTTCTTTTTTTCTCTTGTTTCTTCTACAGGTAGTTAACGGACACACTGCACAATGCGTGAATACAAGTTAGTAGTCCTCGGATCAGGAGGTGTCGGCAAGTCTGCGCTGGTAAGTGGCTGCCAAACATCCCTGCCTCCTTCCTTTATCTCTTTTTCATGCTGTTTGCTTTTCTACATAAACACAACAATTTTCATGTTTGTTTATCTTTCGGAAGCATCTTACAGTCTAGTTCCAGACCACAGATATTATAAGTGGTGCTTGCTGAGGTTTTTCCTTGTGATGGACAAGTGATGCCAATTCAGCAACAAGCATCTCAAATTCAAGTGATTCAGTCTAGGGGTGTCACACTATTAAAGGGATAGTTCACCCAAAAATGAAAATTCTGTCATTAATTACTCACATTCGTGTCATTCCAAACCTGTAAGACCTTCGTTCATCTTCAGAACACAAATTAAGATATTTTTGATGAAATCCGAGAGCTTTCTGACCCTGCATAGACAGCAATGCAACCGAGACGTTCAAGGCCCGAAAAGATAGTAAGGACATCATTAAAATAGTCCATGTGACATCAGTGGTTAAACCTTAATTTTATGAAGCTACGAGAATACTGTTTGTGCGCAAAGAAAAAAACTCTTCCGTGTCAGACTTAGACACGTTCATGAGAGTACCACATAAAGTTCATTTTAACGCAAAGTATTTTAGTCAAGATAATAGTGTAATGAAAATCTAGGTTTCGACATTTAAAGAATAGTTCACCTGACAATTCTGTGATCATTCCAAACATAAAAACTTGGTAAAGTTCATAGAAATAATGTCTTGGTGGTTTTTTTCCCCTCACACTGGAATTCATTGGGGTCCACCGTTGTTTTGGACCCTATTTACTTTTATTGTAACAATTAAAACATTCTCCAAAATATCTACCTTTGTATTCTACAGAAGGAAAGACATGAGAACGACCCTTACATCCCTTTAAACATTATGAATTTGTCTTGCACTTTATGCCAAGTCCATTTTAGGAATCCCCCTCAACATGTATAACAAATTACATCTTATTTCGGGGGAAAAACATACATTGTCTCACTGTAGAGAAACTGGTTTCCCCATCTGAAAGAGTTTCTGCGCTGCTCCGTCCAGCCATGTAGCGTCTCTGGAGAACATCTGTCCCCAATCAGGTCGATAAAGGTTGTGAGAACCAAACTGGCCTGTGGTCGGTTGCGGTGCGCTTTCTGAACCACTCAAACATCACATAGCTGAGTCACAGATACAGTGAAATGACTGTGCCTCAGTGTGTTGGCATTTGCTATTCAGTCAGCATAATATATGTCAGAATAGCATTGCAAAACCACACGTAGTTCGGCAGCTCTTCTAAAATTCAGTGGGTCAGAATGACAAAACCCTGTGGAAAATTTCTGCTGCATGCCATTAGCTTTAAATTTCCACATTTACCCTGGAGTTTAAAAACAGAGCAGTTTCCTCATGAATTATCTCTTATCACTGAGGTCACTGTTTGCTTCCTTAGCTCATTAGCACGCTAGTACTCCGCATGTAATACCGTACGTCCCGCTGACACCACTTTGACCTAGTTTGTTCCATCCCAATGAACTCAAATGGCTCACTCATTGGAGAGCAGCCACAATGGCCCGACCCACTCACTTCAGGGCTCAACAAAGAACCCATTGGCTGTATGTGTGCCACCGGGTGTGAGAACCGTCCGCCTCCATCCTCTTCCCTCTTAGCGAAGACCTCTTTCAGCGTAAAGCACATAGACTTTTATTGTCCATTAACTCTAATTGGAGCACTATGGATGGGTCTAGATGAAATGGCCATGCAGAGTTAATCATGTTGTAAATGCATTCACATTAAGCTCCTGTCCTGCTTCGTGCAAATGGGGAATGAGACAGGTCTGTAAAATCAGATCATTACTGTGTGGGGTTAGCCTGGTGTCCTGTAATGGAACTGTATAGACTGTAACAATGGCTACCCACTTTATAAGTAGCCCTGCAAATCTGCCGAAAAGACAAATACAGGACATTCAAAAGAATATCATTTATTTGAAATGGAAATCTTTTGGACCATTACAAATATATTCACCTTTGATCAATTTAATGCATGCTTCCTAAATAAGTGTTAATTAAACATTTAAATGGTATAGTATACGAACTAACATATGAACTAAAATAGAAAGAATATTTTTTTTAAGAACTTGACACTTGCATTTTAAACTAACTTTTGAATTTCAAATGAATATAACGATAAAGATTTAAATATGACATTTACTTCCAGAACAATACTTTGCTGACTTGTGCACTCTTGAACAGTTCTGCAAATGGAAATATGCAGCCATTAGTGTGATTTAGCTCAGCACTTGTGCGTATGGCTCAATTTACACAGTTACAGGAAGAAACCACACTGTGGTCAGTTGTTAGTAGCTATATGGTAAGTAGTAGGTTTGACATATGGCCCGATAGCATGGATTCACCATGGACTTTGATTTCTGTGGTCTAGTTCAGAGGTTACTCATGAGTTTGTGTGTTCATGCTTGTACTGCACCCTTGACTACAGCAATTAAAATAAAAATGAGTTGGGCTGTTCTCAAACATTGACTCGATCTGTCTGTTTTGAGGAACTGTCGCATCACCAGGCAACACACTGTTAGTTTATCTGTCAGATGAGTTTCGTTAGTCCGGGGGAGTACAAAGAGTCGGACAGGAGCAACAGGGTCAGCTTGAGCTGTAATGATGGATTGCCAGAGCTAACACAGAGAGCCCATCTGCCTGCAGGCAGGAGCGGATCCACTCAGATGCCCGTGGTGCTGCTGACTTCTGTGTGCCTGAGTGAGACCACACATGCTAATGTGTTGTATCCTCATCGATAGCCTAAAAACAAAAGCCACCTTTCACCTCCCATCAGCGCTCTCGAATCTCAGATGCGGTTTTCAAACTGAGTTCAGGGAGCCGCAAGCGGGTGCTAGGCGGTCCGTGGATCATTTGAGAGAAAAGAAAAATATTTTACAAAATAATTTTTCTGGGCTATTAGAGTTAACGTGCCAACTTAAGGCATTCAAAAGGCATTCATAACATTCAAAAGTTTGAGATTAGTAAGATTTTTTTTAAAAACCTTTTTCCATCAAGGATGCATTAAATTGATCAAAAATGATAGTAAAGACATGTAATGGTGCAAAATAGTTCTTTTGAACTTTCTGATAATCATAATCCTAAAAAAGGACTACGGTTTCTATAAAAGTATGTTTTTAACATTGATAAGAAGAAATTGAGCAACAAATCAGCATATTAGAATGATTTCTGAAGGATCATGCGTCACTGAAGACTGGAGTAATGATGCTGAAAATTCAGCTTTGACATCACAGGAATTAATTCCATTTTAAAATATATTAAAATAGAAAAGAGTTGTTTTAAACTAATAATATTTCACAATATGTCTATTTTTACTTTGTTTTTGATCAAATAAATGAGTGAAAGAAACTACAAAAAAAAAAACAGCAACAACATCTTACTGGATGGTAGTGTATTTAACAATTATTTTTAACAATACATTTTTTTAGTTGGTTTTACAAATAGATCTGAATTAAATTGAAAGTGTCCTTAATGTTATGTTTATATATCTAAAATTACTCTAACAGTGACTAGAAAGTAATTTAAGACACAGTAAATATTCCCAGGTAATATTTTTAATAATTTCCTTGGACAATGACCGTGTAAAAGGATTGTTTTCTTTGCAATAATAATAATAATTAGTTTAATAATAATTATTCAACAAAATGCAGTCACTGTAGTATCAAACATATTATTTTTCTTACATACTATGTATGAGTATTTACACATACATATAAATATATATTAATGTGTATATATAGCTACCCTCTTTTTTTGCAAGATAATAAAATGTCCCGTACTTTTTCAAGGACTTACGGCAATACCCAAATGAATAGTGTAATGCAATAATAAACTCTTTCTGTTTATTAATTGTAACAGAAGAGCTTTTTTTAATATAAACATGACCTTTACTAATCCTTTGATACCCATCATCTCCACAATATTTGTTGCTTTCACTTGAAGTGGCTGCTGGGATATCAGCATGCTGAGCGTGCCTGTGTGCATTTGATCTAATCGCTGAGAGCAGAGCAATGCACACACACAGACACACTTCTCTCCTTCACACATCCTCACTGCTCTTTGTTGGAACATTGTAATCAGTGGCCTCCATTGAATTTACATGCCTTGTTTCCACACCTCTCTTCCCATATATGGATTATTTTTAGCCTTCTTTCTGTGTGTGTGTGTGTGTGTGTGCGTGTGTCTGTGTGTGTAGGTGTGGAGTAGGTCGTAGTTCAGAGCTACTGTATGGAACAGTGCCAGAAAGTGTGTGTGTGCATTAGAGAGGCACTAGTGTAAACCAGCCAGAACAGAGCTGCAGGATAAAAGACGTTCAGAGCATATGTGCCAGCTGACACTCGTGCACATGGTATGGTCTGTCTCAAGCACATCAGTTGAACTCTGCTGCATCAACACACATCACCTCTCCAGGGTCGCTCACAAACCCCGGGCGTCCTCAGCGCTGACTTCCAACAGGCACAGATGCACAATGCGGCCCAGCGACAGCCTTGAGATGCATAGGGCTGATGAAGTGCGAGGAATACAATGGGAATAGCAGAAGATGGTTCACTGCATATGCAGAGATATCATAATAACTGCCACTGGAATTCTCATATTGAATCCTCGGTTTGCAAAAAACATTCTTTGTGGTTTTATAGCCAAGTAGAGAACTAGTGAAGCGACATACACTTGAGTAAAGAGGACATGGTGTGTTTCCACTTGCAGACATCTCTCTCTGCCATTCACTACTGAGACATGCTTGCACTGTAATGAAAATTGTTACCATTTCCTTTTTTCACTACTTTTTAAAATGTGAAAAGTATTTTTAATTTTTATGTGTCTACTTTTTACATTCATTCAATCGTTCATTGACATACCACATGATATTTTAAATCCGGAACTATCATTTCCATGTTTTAAGAGACTTGTTGACATATTGAGGCCATTCAGGGGTCTTCTGTATGATTTAATTTCATGTTTAGTATTTTTTTTTTAAACATGCATCTGCATGCTGGTTGCACTACATGACCTTGATATTGCAATCAAATGTTTTTTCAAATATTAATAAGCACTGAAACCATTGTTTTTGTAAGAATTAGTAATAAAATGTGCTAAACTACTACATTTTTCTTATCAATAAAAATATAAATTAATGGTGTTTTAATTGTATTTTCATCATAAGGACAGTTGTCAGCTTTTTTTATATTTATGCCCCCCCCCCCCAATAAAAATTCAGAAATTAAAGGCATTCTCATCCTGTAAAAGGTGTATTCAGGTCATTGTATGCATATGTGTTTTTAAAGTGACGTGAAGTGACATGTGGCCAAGTATGGTGACCCATACTCGGAATTAGTGCTCTGCATTTATCCCATCCAAAGTGCGCACACACGCAGCAGTGAACACACACACACCGTGAACACACACCCGGAGCAGTGGGCAGCCATTTTTGCTGGGGCGCCCAGGGAGCAGTTGGGGGTTCGGTGCCTTGCTCAAAGGCACCTCAGTCGTGGTATTGAAGGTGGAAGAGAGCGCTGTACATTCACTCCCCCCACCTACAATCCCTGCCGGTACGAGACTCGAACCCGCAACCTTGGGTTACGAGTCCGACTCTCTAACCATTAGGCCACGACTTATTATGTATGCATTTGTAACATGCATTTATTTATTTGTCTCACTTTATTTTAAGGTCCAATTCTTGCCATTAACAAACCATTAACTAAAACTTTTACCTCAAACTTCTAATTTGCTGCTTATTAATAGTTAGTAAGGTAGTTATTAGGATGTAGGAGTTAACACTTTAGTATAGAGACCATTTTCACTATTAACTAGTTGCTTATTAGCATGCCTATTATTAACATATTGGCTTTTTATTAAAACTTATTAGCACATTTTCTCTACACCCCTAATCCCTAAATTTAACCACTACTTAAATTTATTAATTTATCTTTTTACTTATTTTTGCAGTGAATCAATAGATCCAGACACACATGCACACAAAATGAACGTCTCGACAGAATATGCATTATGGATGAACTATCCTTTTAAGATCCTCTCTAATCTTTTCTATTAACTAGTCTCATCTCAATGAATTTTTTACGAAAGACAGCGTTAGCTGCCTGTAATTTCACAGCACACAGGCACTAATCTAAATTCATGATTATTTCTTCACTCATCAAGGCTCTTCTTTATTTAGCTTGGTTCTTTTTATTCACACTAAGGCATTAGGTAAACAGATGATCTCTCGTTCACCAGGACAAAGCCTGCTGTATGTGACGAGCGCTCATGCAATGAGATCACTCATACCTCGTGGCTGACATCACCTGCCTTTGCTCAGTTTCTTTCTCCCTATCAGTCTCTTCCTCTCCCTCCCATCAGGCCGTTGTCTTCCTCCCACAGTTGATCAGCATCTTAATGGTTTTCTGTTGTTTATGCCTGTCCAAACAGAGCTCTCATTAATGGATCTAGGCTGGTGAAGTGCGAATCAAAAAGGATGATCAAAGGTCACCCGAACTATGGAGGCCCTGAAGCCTCCGCACCTGAGGGCAGCATCACATGATTTTCATATTCTCCACCACCCCTGCACTTCCTGTGAAGTCACTGCAGAGCCGATCGCCTTTAATTCGGTCTTTTGTTTCAACACGATTGTTGTTCAACCTCCTGCAATTTAATTCCATCTATAAATCTTTTTATATTTACGACGGTAGTTAATTGCTAGGTAACTGGTATCCCGGCAACATCGAAATGCTTTCTGATCTTTGACCAGCGAGTGCAGGTTTCACTCTGGTCTTTTTCTATGTGAAGTGGCCATTGGCCTTTTCATTTGAGCACCTATGTGGTTTTCAGAGCAAGGAGAGCGATAATGGCACGCAGTGGCTTGTTTGTGCCATAAGCGGACACAAAAATCTCTAAGTCTTGGAGTCTTTAAAATGGAATTCCCCGTCAGCCACTGGAAGTGAAAGTTATTTTGCACTGTGTCAACATTTTCGTGTTTGAGTATCGTAACATTTAATGGACATGTCTTTTTCTCTTTGTCTTTCCCTCTCTTTCTTCCTTCTCTCTCGCTCTCCAGACTGTTCAGTTTGTCCAAGGGATCTTTGTGGAAAAGTATGACCCCACAATAGAAGACTCATACAGAAAGGCAAGTTCTGCATCATTTTTATTGTGCATAAGTTGTCAAACCAATGTCTTTTTAATGTTTTCCAGACTCAAAACCCATTTGATTGTTTTCTTACCTTTTCCTAGCCCAGCACATTCTGTACAGTAACACATAAAATGGACTTATCCAAATATAGTTAGTATATCGTTTTTTTGAAGGAACCATGAAGTAAGCCATACTACTTTTATAATCGAGTGAATTAAATACCTTATATCATTTTTTTGGGACTGAAATAAGTAAAGAAGTAATTAAGACTATGATTAGACATCTCACATTTGCTGCGTCCAGTGTTGGGGAGTAACTAGTTACATGTAATGGAATTATGTAATTTAATTACAAAATAAATGTAATTAATCAGTTACAGCTACTGAGATTAAAAAAATGTGTAATTAAATGACAGTTACTTATGGAAATGTTAACGATTACAACGGGGGTTACATCTGATTTTTTTTCCACACACACACCCACATACAGATTTAATTGATTTTTTTCATAAATTCCATTGACTGCTTTAAAATGAGCAGTCCAATGTTTCAGGAGTTTAGGACACCGAATAGAACACATGCTCATTTTTTATGATTAACTGTTTATTCCAAGGCATTGTTAGATACAAGTGTTTCCTGTCACAGCTATGCAAAGATTTGATTTCAAAAACCGTATCATAGCTATTAAACTATTTCTTGTTATGATTTTAAATCTGTATTTAACCTCAGAATTATCTCAAAGTAAGTCTGATTTTGTGGTGGCTGTGCTTTAAATTAAATTATTATCATCTTAATTCAAGTGATGAAGGATTTTGAAAGTCTGACAGTAATCAGTGTTGAGTACTACTGTAAGATTAACCCTGCCATGTTTGAAAATGATTAACAGTTGAAAGCTTTAGAAATGTAGAAAAGTAATCAAATGTAATGTTACATTACTATAAAGTAATTGAAATAGTTACATTGCTTATTACATTTAAAATAGGGTAACTTGTTATCTGTAACCTGTTACATTTCCAAAGTAACCTTCTCAACACTGGCTATGACTTATCTCACAATATGCAAATGTTTTCTGTTACGACAGAGGGATTTAATATTTCTGAATATGTCTCGGTTTCAGATAAAGTCATTTTATATCCCACAATTGCAACTTTATTTCTTGCAATTGTGACATAATACTCTACTTTGTGACTTTATATCTAGGTGCGGTCACGTTATTGAATTTCTGAAAATTTTCAGAAAAAAAGATCCATTGTCTATTACGATCCATTGACAACTTAAGCCAACTGCAAAACCTATGTGGGAAAATCTTTCACCCTCGCATGAAATTCCCCAATTTTTGTGGGTGAAAAAAATCATTGATTATAGACAGCTTCATTGATTATAATGGGAGCAATTTAGTTTTCATGCAAAGCGCTGCACTATTTGGGTCTGGTGTAACTGTAGGTTGCTTAACAATTTGGAACATAAATATAGAATATATTTTGTATATATTGGTTATTACACATTTGTGGCTGATCCAATTAAATTTTTTGTCTTTTGTTGTTAACTCAAGTGTAAGTTTAAATGGAAACCTTCAGGTATGACCACATTTACCAATGTTCGGCAAATTTTTGTGGGTGAAAAAGAAATGACTTTTTCACCCACAAAAAAATTTAATTGGATCAGCGTAAAATAGTGCAGCGCTTTGCATGAAAACTAAATTGCTCCCATTATGAAAATTTTCAGAAAAAAAGATCCATTGTCTATTACGATCCATTGACAACTTAAGCCAACTGCAAAACCTATGTGGGAAAATCTTTCACCCTCGCATGAAATTCCCCAATTTTTGTGGGTGAAAAAAATCATTGATTATAGACAGCTTCATTGATTATAATGGGAGCAATTTAGTTTTCATGCAAAGCGCTGCACTATTTGGGTCTGGTGTAACTGTAGGTTGCTTAACAATTTGGAACATAAATATAGAATATATTTTGTATATATTGGTTATTACACATTTGTGGCTGATCCAATTAAATTTTTTGTCTTTTGTTGTTAACTCAAGTGTAAGTTTAAATGGAAACCTTCAGGTATGACCACATTTACCAATGTTCGGCAAATTTTTGTGGGTGAAAAAGAAATGACTTTTTCACCCACAAAAACCTACAGTTACACCAGACCCAAATAGTGCAGCGCTTTGCATGAAAACTAAATTGCTCCCATTATAATCAATGAAGCTGTCTACAATCAATGAACTGTAAATGCCCATCTGTGACACAGTTTGCTGACTATAATATAAATTTCTGCTTATGTCAGATTTTTTCCAATTGCAATGCAGGTATATCATGACAGAATCTCCTATCAGTTGACACATTTCTACAGGATGTACCCCGTCCTGCCCTAGTAACACACATCAAAGAAAACACTGTGTGTGTGTGTGTGTGTGTGTGTGTGTGTGTGTGTGTGTGTGTGTGTGGGATGTCTCATCGACCCTGCGCTCAGACTGCTGTGTTCGATGATGTTTATATTTTAATGGCCTCTGTCCCAAGGCCTTGAGACAAAGGCTGTGTCTAAAAATGAACCTTCACTCAAACAGTAAAAGGAAGTCCCATCTTGACCAGCACCTCCCTTCCTCGCTGTTGCTTACGCTGCTGTCCCATGGGCACTTCCTGTAGCCGAGGCTTACCGGCGTTGACGTACAGTACCACATTTTATTAGTGTTGATTTTATTCCTTGTGTATACAGAGACACTAAATATATTTGTGACCCTGGACCACAAAACCAGTCATAAGGGTCAATTTCTCGAAATTGAGATTTATACATCATATGAAAGCTGAATAAATAAGCTTTCCTTTGATGTATGGTTTGTTAGGATAGGACAATATTTGGCTGAGATACAACTATTTGAAAATCTGGAATCTGAGGGTGCAAAAAAATCAAAATACTGAGAAAATCACCTTTAAAATTGTCCCAAAATAAGTTCTTAGCAATGCATATTACTAATCAAAAATTTAGTTTTGATATATTTACGGTAGGACATTTACAAAATATCTTCATGGAACATGATCTTTACTTAATATCCTAATGATTTTTGGCATAAAAGAAAAGTCGATAATTTTGACCCACACAATGTTTTTTTGGCTATTGCTAAATAATATACCCCAGCGACTTAAGACTGGTTTTGTGGTCCAGGGTCACATTTGATAATTTTTAAATGCTAAAGTTGCACTTAATATTGAATTTCACTTAAAATATAATTTTTATTACATTCAATGATAAAATAGCAACACAGTGTTTATAAATAATTTAAAGCATAGTGGATATGTGAAGTCGGTTCAACTACAAAACTATGAACAGGTTTCTCAACCAGAAAGTGACTTTTGTCTTAAATTAGAAAAAAATAACTATTTAACATTGTTTTACAATTTGAAACACACACACGTTTCAATTAATCTAATTAATTTATTTACATTTTTTAAATGCTGCTTATGTGTCCAAATACTTACTGGGTCCCACTGTTTACAAACTGGAGAACCAGATTATAATAATTACTATTATTACTAATTATATATTTTTTTATAATTACTGTAGATTAAAATCAGATCAGGAAAAATATGAAAAAAGGCAAACTATTTTGATATTTAAATGATGTCACAAAAATGAAGGTAAAATGGTGTTGCAATCTGAAAGTGTTATAGTCTTTGTGTGTACTAATCCCCCATAAAGGTTGTTTTTTGATGCCAGTCAGTTTGTTGTTGATTTTCTGTTGTCTTTGCAGCAAGTGGAGGTGGATGGACAGCAGTGTATGTTGGAAATTCTGGATACTGCCGGCACGGTAAGACAGTTTGTGCTGTTGTGACAGTTACATGCATCTATGTATTTTAAAGAGTTAATGATTTTTCAATTCAGTCATACTGTTACATGCAACTGGTGTTTAAATGTCCTTTGACGTCACAGCCAAGATAAAATCTTGTATGGTAGCTGCCAGTATCAGTGTACAGTAAGTCATCCGTGTTGACTTTTAACAAACAACCTGGAGATTAAATGATGGTTTGAAATCAATGGGATTAAAACCTTAGAAGAAACAAATCAGACATTTAAAAAAACATTTCTAAATCAGATTTTTGTTGTTGTTGTTGAACATTTCTCACAATGTAAGTCAATCACATTTGTGAGCTGGTGCTGATTGACTGTAGCACAACTAAATGTGTTACATTTGCCTCCGGTCTGTGATAAATAAGTGTGTACATGTGCATCCTCGTGGTCATCCTCGTCTCATACAGGTGCAGAAGGTTAGAGAGCAATTTCGTTCCCTATGGGGGATAAGGACATCTTTCCAGTTCTGCAAGCCCCTGTTTTACAACTCTGAGTTGTAGTGACAGATGGTGAATGTTGTCCTTGGGCTCTCTGCCCCAGAATGGAGCCACGGTCAAATGAAACCGAGCCAAAGAAGCTGAGAATATTCCTGTCAGAGATGTGAACTACAAATTGGCTTCAGTTTTTGTACAGTAGGACTGGCACTTGCTCTGAAATGGTCAAAGTATTATTCAATCTAGTGCTAGTTGCAAAAAAGGAGACTCCAGAACATAATCTTAATTGAAATTGGGTGAGTTGAAACCACAAAGTCAATGACTTGTGAACAGAATGACTTTAAACTACAAACTTTAAACAATAACTGTTAAAGTCAGTCTGCAAATGGCATAAGGCATAGTTAAAATGAACATTCTGGCGTCATTTACTCGCCTTCATGTTGTTCTGAGCCTATATGACTTGGAACACAAAAGATGTTTTGGTAATTGTTTATGCTGCTCTTTTCCTTGTAATGAAAGTAAATTATAGCCAGCAGCTATCAAGCTCCAAAAATTATAAAAAAAAAAAAACATTCTTAAAATATCTTCTTGGAAGAAAGAAAGTCTATACAATTCTTTGAGTTTGTTTGTGTGGATTTCTCCCCCACAAATCCCGAGCTCATGCCCACTCACTAGCACATTTAATGAGACACTGTTGTGTCCTCTGGAGAGAAAAAAGATCATTATTCTCATCTATAGCCTTCCTTTACTAGACATATTACACGTTACCTTTGACAACCATCTTCATTCTCCATGGCTTTTAGAAGCACACTGACCCAGAGGAAACAAAGCTGTGGAGCTATTGATGTGTCTCTGGCCTTATTAGCCTTATCAGGTCACTTCATGTTCAGCTCATACAGGACAAGAACTGTCTATCTGAGCCATCTGAGCTACCGGAGTTCATTCAGAACCGCAGTGTGTAAAAAAAAAAAAAGTGAAATATTGCAATTTTAAATAACTGTTTTTTATATTTGAAGGTGAGACACTACAGGCAAAAATGCTGTTAAATTTAAATGCACGGTTTAATTTTGAGGCTTTGTGCAAAAAATTAAGTGTTTTTTTTCAGACTAGTGGAAAGAAAACATCCGAAATACATTTTTAAGTGTTTCTTTCATAGCACTTTTTCTGTTTGTATGAGACTTTTTCTCCTGCACTGAGCCAAATATCTCTGCTTCAATAATACTGACATATAAAAAAAAAAAAGTGAAATATTGCAATTTTAAATAACTGTTTTTTATATTTGAAGGTGAGACACTACAGGCAAAAATGCTGTTTTTAAATGCACGGTTTAATTTTGAGGCTTTGTGCAAAAAATGAAGTGTTTTTTTCAGACTAGTGGAAAGAAAACATCCAAAATACATTTTTAAGTGTTTCTTTCATAGCACTTTTTCTGTTTGTATGAGACTTTTTCTCCTGCACTGAGCCAAATATCTCTGCTTCAATAATACTGACATATAGCATATTCTGAAGGTTTTTACAGAGGGGTTTGTTCATGCGTAATTTGCCTGGTTTTATACAACATTTTATTCCTTATAAACTGTGAAAATGTATTTTCCCCCTGGCTGTTGACAGTATTTTCTGATTTATAGAGTGATAAAAAGAGCTATCCAATATCACCTCTGTAAAATGAAACAATCATTTTCAACCTGGCTTTATCCAATATTAAGATTTTTGTTCTAGAAATGTATGTTAATTAGTGCATATTTAATTATATAATGCCTCATTTGCACATTTAAACATAACATTGTAGAAAACTTGTAATACAAACATGTTTGTAATTATTAATGTAATCAGTCAGCTAACTATGGTGATATCTATTAGTTATTATTTTTTACCCTTAATATATGTAATTTATTCCTGTGATGGCAAAGCTGAATTTTCAGCAGCCAGTCTTCAGTGTCACTTGATCCTTCAGAATTCATTCTATTATGCTGGTTTGTTGCTAATAATATTTATTATCTTTATCAATATTGAAAACAGTTGTGCTGCTTAATGTTTTTGTGGAAAATGTTCTTTGATAAATAGAAATTTCAAAAGAACTGTATTTGAAATGGAATTATTTTGTAATATTATAAATGTCTTTGCGGTTGCTCTTGAGTTTTTGCTAAATACAAATATTAAAGTAAATGTGACCTCAAACTTTTGAATGGAAGTTCCATCTGGTGTTTACAGGTTAAATGCAGATGGAACACATTTATTTAAAATCAAATGACCATTTAAAGTCTCATCATATTTGTGCTTTTGGTATTTTTTTACATTGCTTCAGTTATAATTTAGTTATATAATAACTACAATAAACCAGTATATATATAAAGCACAATATGTTGGTATCGTATAGGTTATTTCATATTTGGACAGTGTTACTTACAAAAAAAAAACTGCTCTGTACTCACTATGAATATTTTGAAGTGTTTTAGAGATTTTTTTCAATTTTGTCTGTCAGTACCTCAACTCCTCAATACACTATCTGAACACTTCTCCTCCTCACTTCACCTCCTCTTTCTCTCCCACTCAGGAACAATTCACAGCCATGAGGGACCTGTACATGAAGAACGGCCAGGGCTTTGCACTAGTATACTCCATAACAGCACAGTCCACCTTCAACGACCTGCAGGACTTGAGAGAACAGATTCTACGGGTCAAAGACACGGATGATGTGAGTCTTGTCCAGCTCTCCATTTCATCTCCAGAAACTCAACCTCAGTGTCTGCTGCCCTGCCTTTAACTTTCATCTCACCCTGTGCTTTGATAGTTTCAGTACCAGTATCTGCTTTTTCACACCCACCCTGAGCCCTCATGCCTGCCATCGCCAGTGAGGGTGACCTTTTGGCTGTGAAGAGGCTCGTCTTCCCTTCTTGTACACCTCTCTCTATTTGACAGTTCTGGTTGGGCAAGCAAAAAATTTGCTAGCTGAGTTTACTTTGATTGCTTTCCGGTTTATCGCAATTCCAGAAATGTTATCGCTGGAGGTCGCTAATAGGCATAATGATAATGTTTGTTTTTTTTGTTTTTCTGAAACTAACATGACTACAAATAGTACATTGCCACTACGTTTTTAAAAGATTGCATGAATCATACTCGCTGACAATCAACAACTTTCAGTGAAAATGATTGACTTCCTATTGCAAAAATAACTATGTGTGAACGTCCCTTAAGATATAGTGTCTTTTGTCACAAAGTCGGACTAGGCTTGGATTGAATCGCGGCCAAGTTTGTTAGGAGGAAAAAAAAATCCGTGTGAAAGGTGTGTGTGTGTAAGAACTCATTCTAAACGGTTTCTGAGAAAGATGTTAGTGTGACGACCTCAGTTGACCTGCGCTATTTCTGTCCACTTCTTCAGCTCAGCTGATTTAACACAGGACCTTTCGGTTATTAATTCTGCCTGGGCTACTTGCTTTTTTTATCATTTACACAATATGTCAACTTTCTTGTTGCTTTGAAAGTATCTGCTGAAATCAAATGTAAATGCTTTGTCTCATAGTTTCACTTCTGTTATTATATCTGGACTGTCTCTCAGTTGAAAAACTGAGAGTTGTGTGGGGGTTTTTAGCTGCGTTTGTCGTGTTGTATGCAAATAGGAATGCACCTAAAGCCTCGAAATGACCAAAGGGGTTTCAGCTATCTCTTTTTTTCCCTCTCTTTTTCCATCTTTTGCAGTATCTTTTTCAATTAAGGAAATACAACAGCTGTTGCAAACTGCGGCCCCTTAAGAATGATTTCTGCTAATATAGCAACACAGTTTCTGCTAATGCCTCTAAATAGCTCCTTGGATGAAAAACAAATAGAGAAGTAGGAAATGATGACCATGTAAACTTATATTTGAACTGTTTTTGTGTGTGAAATGTGTGCTGAAAATGCAAATGAATTGTCACTTCTTCTCAAAAAGACATTCACTTTTTTTGTTCTAATCCCTAAACCATTGTATTATCACTTGATTTCTTGATCCTTACATGACTCATTTAAATCTGAAAACTCAGTCGAAGTGTTTCTTTTCAGGTGCCAATGATCCTGGTGGGTAATAAGTGTGATCTGGAAGACGAGAGGGTGGTCGGGAAGGAACAAGGCCAGAATCTCGCCCGTCAGTGGAACAGCTGTGCTTTCCTGGAGTCCTCTGCAAAGTCCAAGATTAACGTCAATGAGGTGAGAATGACTTACAGATGGAAAATAAGGCCTCTTTTTACCCATTATGTTATAAAAAGTCACATATTTCATGTTAAAGCAGAGTTTTTACAATGTAAGACCTTATTGAAGGATTTATTTATTCGAATACATGGTAACACTTTAGTAGGGAGGGACCAATTCTCACATTTAACTAGTTGCTTATTAGCATGCATATTAACAACATATTGGCTGTTTATTAGTACTATAAAGCACATATTCTGCATGACCATATTCTACATCCCTAATCCTACTCAATACCTAAACTTAACAGCTACCTTAGTAACTGTTAATAAGCAGCAAATTAGGAGTTTATTGAGGCAAAAGTCGTAGTTAATGGCAAGAATTGGACCTAAAAAAAAAAGTGACCGAATACATGGCTACTTTTTAATTGACGCCAATAGAGAATGTTTGTAAATGGTGTAGCTGAACAAAATGGTGTAGAAACTATTTTTGATTTTTATATATCACTAAGGAAAATTCTTGGAAATGAATTAAACGTGACATTTTTGTCACATTTTGAACTTTCTTGTAAAACATACTTCAATCTTTGTTTTTATTACATCTTCAAAAAATACTTTTTTATATTGTATGGCTTCTACCAGCAGGGGCAGTTTTTTATACTAAAATATAAAATAATTTCTGTACAAACTAACATTTGTATAAAAAAATCTATAACTCCCTCCTAAAATATATTTTTTTTAATTAAAATTAAGTGTAATTTATAATTATAATGTAATGTGAAATGTATATATATATATATATATATATTAGTTTATTTATTTATTTATTTATTGTTACCTTGATCACTGAACACACAGATCTGTTTTTCTTACTGTAAACCGTTTACCACAGAATACTCATATATAAGCTTTTCCATTATTGTTGTCTTAATATTTGAAATATTTAAATCTGGGAATTGAGAGGTGAATCTAAAAGGGTGTTTTTAATCTTAGGTAAAGCTTCATTCAGTAGGCTGTGTATGGGCATGATCTTTTGCCCAGTCTTTTCAGTTGGGCTCCGGCTTCGGTTGTCTTCTGACATGCCTGTGCTGGCGTCACCATGGAGCTGCTCTTCTCTGCTGAGGTCTCAGAACAGTGTCATTGTCAGCTAGTGATATCTCTCCTTGAAAGCGTAGTCACACATTAGCAAAGCAGGCAGTCAGCTGCAACGCTCGGACACAGAGCATCCTTTTGTGAGCAACATGACTCTGCCTACGTGACATAGAGCTGCTTTGAGTTCAGTCAGTTAAAAAATCCAGTTGGTTATAGCGGTATGGCAGTGTGTAAGGAGAACCGAGTGAACACAGAGTTATATGAAACCCCTGTGCTGGTCTGGAGTCAGTCCTGTAGTTTATGAGAGGTTACTGGAGGGCAGAAGGGGATGATTTGAAGTCTTCAGCTTTTTTTTTTATCCCGCTTGGGCGTTGCTCCAGGATTATTAATTTACTTGTGTCAAAGCACAGACCTGCATCATCATTAAAGTCTCAGACTCTCCCGTAAGCGAAATCCAGATACCGATTTAATGGATCTTCGGTTGGAACTCTCTCAATAAGATAATGAGGAACTTCAGGTGCGAGTGACCACAGTCAAAGCGATTCATCACTTTCAGTTAATGCAGCCAGAGCGATTTACTTTTCACAAGCTTTCATGTTTCTTCTCCATCACAAGTTACAACAGGCGCCTTTTCTCATTTTTGAAGCCCAAAATGACTAAAAATCCACTAATAATCAGTATAGGAGAGTTAAAAGCAGAAAGAAAAAAAAAAAGACATTTCTTTAGCACATTCCAGATGGGTTGTTGTTTAACAACGGTTGATACTGCTTTGTTTGAAACAGCTTTCACTGGTGGATCAAAATACATTTTCAACAAAAAAAAATATATATTTTTGAGTTAATTGTATAAAAGTTGAGTTTTTATGGACAAAACCATGCCAAAATCCGATTAGACAGGAAATTACAGGATTAGAAAGGAAATTTGGTGTTGGCAGGGCGCTCTCTCTCTCTCTGACATTGAATTGCATCTGTATCTTTTTGTTTATCAGCTTTCCATTCAATGAATGAAAGAAAAAAGCCATTTATTGATTCGAAGGGGTTTAGGCAAGTCCATTTGCTCTGTTAGTCTGCAGTTTGCTGCTTTGTGCTGATTGTCAACACCTTTTAGTAAGGTGCATCCTGTACTTCTGAATTTGTTTATCTGGCATTACTGAGATCATCTGTTGTTATGTATAGCAAAGAATGGATTATGAGCTTATCCTTCTCAACTCACATCCCAAATCTGCCTCTCTACACAACACATGGTAGCAGAGATCTTATTACAAATCCTGCTATATTACCAGTGTTGTTTAACGTCAGTAGCAAACATGCCGTGTTGTTTCTGTCTGCTACAATAGCTTATCTCTGGTCATTGTGTAAAAGCTAACACAATGTCTGACAAACACATCTAGTCTGATGGCACATGTATGTATTCACTGAGAAATGCTTTTGTGTGTGTGTGTGTCTATGCAGATCTTCTATGACCTGGTCCGGCAAATCAACAGGAAAACTCCAGTACCTGGAAAGACACGCAAAAAGTCCACCTGCCAGCTGCTCTAATATACAGCTGTTCTTTTGCTCTGAGCCAGGTAGGATCTCAGTTATGTTTGGCTAAGCAGAAATGATTGACAGCTCATCACAATCAATGTTCTAAAGCACCCCCCCCTTTTTAAGATTTAGGTTATAGAAACCGTTGAAAAATGGGTTCTGTTTAGATCTAAAAAATAATTGCACTTTTATTCCACTCTTTTTTTATTTTCTGTCTTCCTGCAGGTCTGATTTACTGCTGTGTCTTTCAGCAGTGCCAGCATTCCGACGTTACTAAAACCTAACATCGAATGGACTTTCCTATGTGGTGATGCCCCTTTAACAAACCAACCAACCAACAACCAATGGATTCAAGGCTACAGTACCATGACAGTTTTTTGCACATAGATAACCATCATCACTTTCCAATGTCGCGAGAAAGATTTTTACATATAAATATATAAATATATATTCTAACTGTATGCAACTGAATAAAACAATTGAATACAGAGCTAGTCAAAAAGAATACAAAAAAATACAGAGCCTACACGCAGTGTTATTGCTAACGGAGACAGCCACGGTTGTAAATGTAAGGCGGGAATGTCTAACCAGGCTGTGCACGTTGCCATGGCAATTACAATGATATTTATAAGCACCACTATTTTAGCCAGAGAGGAGAGGAAGTCCAAAGAGCTCCTATATAAACCATTCGTACAGCTAACTTTCACTCTTTTTTTGTAACTTTGTTTTGCTTTTATTCTAAACATGATTTCTTTATCTTCTGCCTTTTTTCTCTTTTATAAAATTACTAGATTTTTGCTCTATGGAGATGTTATATTCACAACAGCTATTGATGAGTTTTAACCTGTGGATACAGTGATGTACATGTAAAAAGTTCAAAAATATAATTTTTTTTTTCTGTCACTATCATTGTCCTTAGCCTCAGATGTTGCCTTCAAATACGTGTTAAGACCTTTTTGTGTCTTTTTTTTCTTCTTTATTTTTCCTAAGGATTAATTTCCACGATCTTGGGTCCATCTCATATGCCATGCCGGGTTTCTTTGTTTTGTTTACAAAGAACTTTGTACAGCAGGCTTTTTTTCAAAAAGGGGTATTAAAAGAAGCGGTTTGAACGTTTAGTTTTAGTATCTGTCTGAAGCTCATCTTTTGGATGGTCTCATAATAAATAGTCAAATCCCTCTTGACAAAGCTGATCCTGATCAAACGTAGGACATAAATACAGTATATATTTTAAAGAATTGGGGTTTTTAATACACAGGAAAAACTAAATGTACAACAAACTATACTCAAAACATTGCCCTTCTCCCCTTGCTTGCTGATGCATCTGGTGTAAACTGAGGATATGAAAAACAAATATTGGATCCTGTCAGTAAAGAGTGAGGAAAAGATGTCTGTTAGTGACTGTTTCGACTTTGTAATAATAATTTGCCCTGTTTTCTGTCTTCGTTACTGATGGATTAACTGAATGTGGGGGTGTGGGGACTTTGTGTTAAGCAAGAAAAAATTGGAAGAATTGATTAAAAAATTGAAAATAATTAATTTTACATCAAGTGCAATCATAAAGTGTGTTCGTAAAAGAGCCGAATGCGCAGTTGTAGCATTCGATACTGGTCTCTTCAAACATCGAAATGACTCTTTACAGGGTGCAGTATGCGGTATGTACACGTAAGGAATTGTTTATAAATGCTTTGAGGATTTGTACTGTGAAAAGTGAAGAACACGACTCCCAGGGAGTGTCCGAGCAGCAGCGGGCACAGGTTAACATTACGAGTCGTGTGTTGTACCGCAACCAAATGCGTTGATGCTTTTTAGGATTTGAGGGGAGGGGGGGGGGAACCTGAAGAAAATACAAACTTCATGTAAGGACCAGGACTGAGACAGAGGCGCAGTATTTAAAATGCAACATCGTCTGCTTCTGATGGGTTGGGTGGGTGGCCAAGTGTCAACTTAAAAGCCTTAATTAAAAGTGGTGCAATTTTGTATAACCGAGCATCTGTAGTTTAATAAATTGGATTGCCATGCAAGGGCTCCCAAGAAGCCAGTTTTTGCCACTTGAATGTGTTGTGTATTGTTTCAGAATTTTCTGTCAGACCAATAAAAAACAAAACCGTTCAAGTTGCTCTCTACCATGGTGGCACGTTTGCTGCAAAGGTATTCGTATCTGATTAAGACCGAATCAGAAAATGGAGAAAAATGAAGTCTGGTATTTGGTGCGTGAACTAGAAGGAAAAGGAACAGGATGACTGGCATCTTTCACTTCCCAGAAACATAATGGATGGGTTCTGGCAATATAGTTTTGTGCAGACGAAAAATAATGGTCTTGTCTACATGCACTCCAGTGCTTTATCCACTGATGATATGTTTAGATGCCGTCTGTGGTCTAATCTGTGATTTCAGACTTTACATCACTTCAGAATACACCATCATTTAATATAGTGTGTCACTAAAACTTTACAGTTTATTCAAAATAAAAACAAACATTATGTAGCCTACATGGCACAAGATTAGTTAGATATTATTTATTGGCAGACAAATGTAGTTAGCAAAAATTTCAGAGATAGCTAGATAGACAGACAGACAGACACAGAACATTTAAAATTATTGGCTAGAAATATAATTTGACAATTTAGTTTGACAAGTTGACCAGTAAGCATGTCACTATAAATATTTTATTTTAGACTATTTACTTTTCAATCAAATTTAAACAATAAATCGTGAAATTCACAAAACTGCATAAATCTAAAATGTAACCGGCCAATGTAAGATCAAACCATTTTGTCGTCAAACGGATAATGTAATGAGGTTTATAAAAGTATAACATTAAAAAAAAAAAACATTTACATGTGACAACTTGTTCTCCTGACACCTAGCAACGACCTCATTTTTGAAAATATTTCCATATTTTTTTTAACATTGAATGTTAAATGGTATATATAAAAATATAAACGTAGAATTTGACCTCCCTCCACTACAATAGATGGCGCTGTGCTCTTGTAGTTTTCCAAACTACATCTGATACAAAGAAGAAAAATACACACACGACATGTGGGAAACACGATAGCGTTACTTAAGTTTTAATAAGGATTTTGACTTTCTAAACGTTGATTTAATGTAATAAGCATGATATAGCAGAAATACTCAACAGTTCGTGTGACACAAGTGCGCGCTGTCTTTCTGTAAGGCTTCAAAACGAGTGGTTAGCATTTGACCTCCGTTTGCGAGGGTATTCTGAAAAAATTTGTGTTGAATTTAATTTCAACAAAAACGTTTTTATCATGAATCTCAGCGTGACTCGCAAGTGTTATAGTAGAGTTCGTTTGTTTCGGAATAAGGCGGCTGTCTACCATTGCAGAAGACTGTCAGATGTTCCCATCTCCTCTGATGACAGTCAGCCCAGCCCTGAGGAGAAGCCCAGGAGAACACGCAGAGCTCCGGGGAAAGCGTCTGTCCTTCTGTTCCCTGGCCAGGGCAGTCAGTTTGTCGGTATGGGAAAAGGACTCTTGAAGTATGGAAATGTCAAAGAGATGTTTGCTGTAGCTGAGAAGGTGCTTGGCTATGACCTGCTGTCTCTGTGCCTAAATGGACCCGAGAAAGATCTGATGAAGACTGTTCATTGCCAGCCAGCTGTGTTTGTCTGCTCACTGGCTGCCGTGGAAAGACTGAACCATGAAAATCCTGCTGTAAGTTATCCACAAGATCAGTCGACAGCTAATCTATTAGGATTTGCAGTGTCATGCATGTATGATTAATATTGCCCTGGTCAGTATTGATGTTAAACTCATTGACCCCCATCTATAGGCTATTGAGAGCTGTGTGACTGCAGCAGGTTTCAGTGTTGGTGAATTTGCTGCTTTGGTCTTCTCTGGTGCAATGAACTTTGCAGAAGGTAAAGCTTATTAAACATACAAAATTAGCTATTTGAATTGCATTTTTACAAGTGTGTAACATATCCAGATTACATTTGTCCCCAAAATCAAAAGAAATAATATATTTCCATAAAAATGGAATATAAAATAAATATTTCCATATTTTTTAATTTAGCTTTTTATTGTATATTTTATCAAATGTATTTTGCATGAAGTAAAAAATACCTATTTATTTGTATTATTATGACAACTAAGCACATTTTACCCCTACGTTCTCATAATTAGTCAAGATATTTTAGTGTTATTGTTAACTAAACTCTAAAACAGACAATTACAAAGTCGTTTTTGTTAATTGAAGTAAAGCTGACATAAAACATAAATATTAGATGATAAACTTATGCTTAAACGTTTAAATGAAAATGTTGCCTTGGCAACTAACTGAAATAAAATAAGTTGGAATACTAAAATTACTAAAACTAAGACACATATTCATTAAATTAAAGTTAAGGAGAATTAAAAAAGTATCAACATGACAAAAGCACATAACAAAATGGCTAAAACCTTAACCAAAATTATATTTATAT